TCTTCTGCTAATCTTATACTTCTTTTAACAATTCTTATAATTGTTTTCTTTTATATCTCTTTTTTTTCTTACCTGTTTGCCACGGCGCATTCCCTTTAAAGTCTTTATTATATTTATTGGGTGATATTTAAGTTTACCTTTGTACGGTGCCAGACCGAAAGAAGAGAAGGGATATAATGTTGGAAGATTATGTTGCGCAAGTGGCATGGGTTTGTTTGCTTTCAAAATTCAGCATTTCAAATATTTTAATTAACCGTATATACTCGACTATAGTGCAAGTTTTTATGATCAATTTTTTTACGTAAAAAAATAATAGGCAGTTTCACGATACACAGGTAATCACTTTGAAGAGGTTAAAAATCTTGTATTTTTCGTGACCGGTTGCACTATACGCTGATAATTTTTTTTCTGAGGGGTTGAGATTCATGTAAGAAAAAAAAAATCTGATGTCGCATGATACATTAAGTCAGTTTATACACCAGTATATACGGTATTATGCAAATTAGAATATATATATTGAATTTAAATAATATGAATATTTATATTTTACATGTTATTTATTATTATAAATATATTTTATTTAACATTTATTATTATTATTATTATCATCTTCGTTTTTATTTTATTTTCATAAAATTCAGACCATTATCACTGGGAACGAATTTACACCTAACCCGCTCAAGAGGTTTCATTTTCTTTCCTTTATTAGTAAACATTTTCTTTTCATTTTTCCTTCAGATTTCTTTCTTTCTTTTCCCTCACTTTTCCTTTCTTTCTTTTCATTTACCTTTTCATTCACTTTTTCTTTCTTTCTTTTCCTTCTCCGCTTTTTTGTTCATTGGCTTATCTTTCCTTGTTTTTTTTTTCTTTTTTTTAATTCTTTTTTTTTATCTCTCAGTATTTTTCTTTGTTTTTGCTTCTCTTTTGTTTATTTTCTACCTTGTTTCTTTCCACATTTTTCCTTCCTTCAACCATTTCTTATTCCTTTCTCTATCATTTTCTCTCTCTTCCCCCTCCTTTTTTTTGTTTTGTTTTTGTTAATCCTTATCATTTTTTTCCTACTTCTCCAAACCATTCCCAATTCAATTTCTTACCTTTTTTTTTTTATTTCTTTTACCTTCTCGTTTTTCTTTCTCTCTTTTTTTTCATTTCTTCTTCATACCTTTCTTTCACCAGTTCAACCATCTTGCAACTTATACTGACTCTGGCCTCTAAAGACAAGTCAGTTCCCTTAGGGTTTTAGTGTCCTTCCTGAAGTACAATGATTGATAGCCTCGAGGTCGAGCGGTTATATTAGCTTGCGGCAAATCCTTGAAAGACACCCAGGGGAGCCTTAACCCTTGAAATTAATTTAACCCTTTTGTTGGACATGACAAAACGGGAAGCTTAGAAAGCGTGTGTTTTCTCCTTACTTTAGTTATGACAATAACAAAATCTTCTTATTCTTAATAATAATAATAATAATAATAATAAAGGAATGCAGTAATGATGATCACAATGCAGTTGATAATCCTCGTAGTGACAATATCAACGATGGGAAGATAATAAACAGTAATATCAAAAGTAATTATCATTCCTAACTTAATTCAAACTCTACAATGTATCCTTCTGACTCATTTCAAGGCATTTTTCCGCGTTAAAATGCGGTCAATCAAAGGTAGAAAACATGTTTAGATTGCAGGATTTCTTCTTTTTTTTTAAGATAATAACGGTTTATAGATTCAAGTCTTACTAATTAATCCATAGCTGAAGTGAAAAGAACTGTATTCATCCTTTTTCTTAGGGTATTTGCGCGTAAGTCAATATAAAGAACCAAACAGTAATTAGAACTCGCTTCTCCGATTAACAATATCCATTACACCACCCGCGCATCCAAGATACAATACCTGGAATTTCCAAGTCGTCTTCCATCTCGATACGGACCAGGCTCGACGTTGCTTAACTTCAGTGAGCGTACGTGAAGCGTTCTTTCAATATTATGGGGTTGGCTTAAATACTAGATCCAGAGAAACATTTTAAAATATCATTAGCTCTTTGTATCGTCCTGGGTATGACGATAAACTACATCCGCGTCCTGGGTAAGACGATAAACTACGTCCAACATCAAGGCCTCTGATCAGGAGGTTTTGAGGATTGTGGAACCACCTCTTAATTGCTGGTGTTCCCATGTCCACCCTGAGCCGGGGTGGTAGCACCTGTTAGGGTCCCAGCTATGGGCAAATAGTTAACACCCAAACTTGTGTAAAAATAGGTTTTAATAACAGAAATACTTTGTAATAAAAAAATTATTACCGGCAATAATTTTTGAAGGGAAAAATATTATCAGCAATAATTAAAATTTACAGTGAAGCATACTTTTAGAGTGCGTAGATTTCGATCTAGTGTGAACAAAATATTACCAAGTGGGTATTTTAAAAAACAACAACAAAACTTTTTACGAAAATAAAACCATCCAAGATTGTACATTTCCTAAAAGATGTTGGATTGTACTAAAAAATATGAATAATTGAAAAATGGTTCAAATATATATTTATACATATACACCATTTTTTTTTACCAAACTATTGCTATGAATCTATTTCAAAAATTTTGTTGGCATTAAATGACCCACTGAGGTTTTGATATGCCATAAAACAAAACAACCAACTCAGTCTCTTTGTAGAACTATATTTATTCGCTTCCCTATGAAAGCAAATATGACACAGGCTTAAATAGAGAGAGCCCCACGTAAACGTTGAATCAGGGTAAAAAGTTACTCAATTCCCTCGATACTTACTTTTGGAATGCCTAGGTATCGGGGATTGACCTTGATCTAACTTCTTTTAGAGCAATGGGTAATTGCTCAGTTGATCTCTTCTTTCACCTAGCTCTCAATGAGGAAGGGGAACTGGCTTGTAACATTCATTACCTTCAAAACCAATCTAGTAAAGTTTCATCATCTCAGAGCAGATACATTTTCTCCTGTCATAATGAACGGCTTTACTTTCTGACATGAAGCGGAACTCATACATTCGAACCATCGTTAAGATGATTGAAAAATGGTCGCTTTCTGTTATATTCCATGGGAATAAGCACATAACACCAGGTGGATACGAGAAGAAAGGTTTATTGTAGACAACAAGTACAATATGAAATACGGTACAGTTATACACACAGGTCAATCAAGTAGTGAGTGCCACTAATTGGAAAGATGGACGTGCTTGCGTCGTCTCGCTCTTCATCCCTCCCTGAGTTTCACGTAGACGGTTGACTTTATATAGGTACTTATTACCTATAGTGTAATCATTCATGGGGGTTAGTGGTTATTCCATTACATCAGTTCTTGTCCAGCTTGATAAATATCTCCTCTTGCCATGATCTGTTTAAAAGAATCAGCTCAGATCAAAAATGGTCTATTGCTACCATATCTGCACTAAAGCTGTCCAATCCTTAAAAGAACAACTTCATTCAGTAACCCTCTACCTTGAGTGACTCTGGCCTTGTATTTGGTGAGCAAAAATATAAAAATGAACCTGAATGACGAGAATGCTTCCAAGAAATAATTACTGGAAATGATAAGTTGGTTGATTTTCGGACAAATGCATGTGTTAAGTCTTATGTCAAACACAAACAGCGTTGCGTACATGTATAAAAAAAAAGAAAGTCGAAGTTCATACTACTGGGGCGTCTAAAGACATTTGTGATTATATTATTGTTTGAAGGATTCATAAAAATTCTATTTTTCCCTACTGGGGCGAAAGGGCGATATTCCAACCAACTGAAGAAGGCCGGAGCGTCCGACGGCCGAAACGTTGTAATAAATATGGCGACAAAGATGAGGACACTAGTCCGAATAATGTAAATGGCGTATATAATACCTCATCTCAGAAATATAGACAGATACTGAATAGCAGTCATGTTGGCTATGGAAGGAATTTGTTAAAATTCCAGATATATATGTTCAATATATATTAGTTTTTGTTTATTGTTTTCATGTTTAAGTATAGTTGTGTTTTCAACAAGGATTTTACGGAATTGTGTACGCGTCTTTCAATGATAATGTTATTAAGCTTATCAGACAATTACTTAAAATAGACAAAACTTATCTATATAATTTAATGAAACATGCATCAATATATATATATATATATATATATATATATATATATATATATATATATAATGTCATCCACAGACAGACTGTTTCGCGGCTCTTCATTGTGGCTAGGCGTCCGGTCGTCTGAACGTCTGTTTCTTAGTGGCCAAGCGGTAATGCGCAACGGGCTAACCGGTGGCTCCTTCCTTTCCTGAAGCATACAGGTTTGATTTCTGCTGAAGGGCGCCAATTTTTCTTTAAAAAGAAGGTTGGTCGGTGAAAATAAATATTTATACTGTTTAATAAATAAACGTAGCGCCTACTCAGACACGAGTATCCACTAATAATAACGTTTAAAGTGATACATCTATATATAAAATGTTCCATTAGCATACTTAGAGGTATCTAGTCATAAATAATTCCCATTTTATTTATCAACGATCCCCTTTGTTCTTTTCGCTAAAAGCGTGTGGAACCCAAACACATTGCTTGCTGATTTTCCACCTCGTTATTTTTTTAAGCGTTAACATATCGTAGATTGTGACGTGTTTTAGCAACTTTGCTAATTTCCTAGTACTTTGCCACTGTACACTGATAAACGCCCCAGTCTGAAACTTTGCAAACTAACTTGGTACTTGGCGTTCAGTTATGACATCTTGGTTGTTTTGGCATATCAACACGTCTATGGGTTATTTAATGCCAAAATCTAAATATTTTTTACACAATTTTATTTTATTTTTAGAAATAATATTTGATTGACACAAGTTTTACTAATTAACCCATATCTGGGGGAGAAGAGGTAGATTCATACCTTTTTCAAGGACATCTGCGCGTAAGGGAATATAACGAACCCAACTGGAATTGGAACTCGATCCTCGATTAACAATTCCGATCCATTAGACATTATACCACTCGTACACCCAAACTTGCAGCACATTGTATTTCCAAGCGGTCACCCATTTAGGTACTGACCAGGCTCGACGTTGCTTAACTTCGGTGATCGCACGAGAAATGTTGTTTCAGCGTGATGTGGCCGTAAGCCTATGATATCTTGATCATCAGCATTACATCTTTTTATGTTCCCATCGCGTTATTCCCTTGTTTGAACTCCCATGAATTATGCAACGTGAATGCATTTTTAACCCCTCCATTTGTTGGGTGTTATTATTTAATCCACTATGTACGCTGCCACGGTCGTGCAGAAACTATGTTAGTGTACCCCATATTTAATCTTAACTGCCACTTATGATTCGTAGGGAGAATGATCGATTAGTTATTACAGTTTGTTCCTTAAAACAGAAATTACTTATGACTATGATATGCACTTTAATATATTGTTGCTATATTTGTAATAAATGTTGTTGAGTGTTGGCTGGTTGATTTTTTGATCTATAGGGCCTCGAGATTTTGAAGTTTTCGTGTTGTTGCACATTGGTGTTGTCAACAAGTATTCCTGTATTGTGAAGGTGGACAAGAATGGGTATTTAGATGTTGCGAAATAGAACTTGTATCCGACAAATGAAGTGTAAGTCGTCTTGATATTGTTGTGGTCGTCAAACCAACATATGTACTTAGATTTTTGTGAGAGATACACTCTCCTAATGTTGGTTTTTATGCCACTTTACATTTCTGTTATTTTCTGGTCAGCTTCCATAAGTTGAAACGCTTGTTTTGCAAAAGAATGTAATAACTGCAAAGGATAAATTATTTTAAAATAATTACAGACCGCATTCAAGTGTATTTTTAAAAGTCACTATAACAATCGAAAGCAGATTTTGTCGCAGTTACAAGTTTGTCTTTGAAATTTACCCCTGAAGATAATTTTGGAAAAGATCGAAAGTTCTTGGGATGACAAAAACTACGGCACTTTACTTGATGAAACTCATTTTAACATCAAGAAACTGTCCGCATAGGGAATGCGGGTTCGAATTCTACCGGAGGCGGCCTATTTTTTGACAAGGTTTCTTGAATATTCAGGCCAGTCAATGTAGTTGGATAAAAAATACTGTTTAATTAAAAAAGCAGAGATTCTATTCGAATATGAGTATCAATAAAAAAATAACGTTTAAATAAAATAAAGTAAAATTAACAATGTCGGATTTAATCCATTTCCTCTCTCTCTCTAATATATATATATATATATATATATATATATATATATATATGTGTGTGCGTAAAAATCTTGGAATTCCTTTATCATAGCTTTCAAGAGACCGTCGTTCTCAGTACTTGCTAATAAATCTTAACGAAGCTCTTTGGTGTTTTTGTAACGCTCAAACTATGTTCAGAAAACATATCTGAGTTCTCTCTCTCTCACGCACATACACAATTATATTTATACAAAAAATAACTATATACAGGAACATTGTATATATATATATATATATATATATATATATATATATATATATATATATATATATATATATATACAAACAGATAGTGAAAGAGAAGTAGACATGAGTGGATTTATGTATGTGTAAACGGATGTTAAATGCGTACCTTTTCATTTTCTGTTAATAAATCTCTCATTTACGGGTAGGTTAGTGACTTCTATATTTGAATGGAATTCAAGGAAGTTGACTATATTGACTATATATACATATATATATATATATATATATATATATATATATATAAACATACATATGTATAAAGCTTGTTATTTACATATATGTCTGGGAAGACAATTGCGTACGCTTAGACAAATGTACGAAGATGTATTAAAAAAGTCTAGCACTAAATTAAAACATTTTACACGAATTCATTTTTTTGAATTTATTTATTTTTGAATTTTTTTTTTTTTAACATAAATTTATTTTTTATTTAACATAAATTAACATTGATTGTATGATTTGTTTTTTTAAGACTTATCAACCTTTTGCCGGTTATTTAGATATAAAGAAAATATTTTTAAATTGTTAGAATTCTTTTGGAGGTAATGATTTATTGATCCAACTCGTACTAATTAACCCATGGCTGGGGGGGGAGATGGATTCATAGCTTTCGCAATGCTGTTTGTGCGTAAGTGAAAATAACGAACCCGGCTCGAATTGGAATTCGGTTCTCCGATCACCAATTCCAAGCCGTTATCCATTATACCATCCGCGCATCTATGTTTACACCATCTGGTATTCCTAAGCAGTCGCCTTATCTACTGACCCGACTCGACGTTGCTGAAGAACCAGTGTTTCAACATATGGATGTTATCCTATTTTTTTTTTTTTTAACTTTTTGCTGTTTATCAGCCGTTTTAAGGTTATTTAAAGCCGAAACATATTTTTGCATTGTAAAAACTTTTGGAGATAAGGAGTCATGCTATTTAACCCATATTTGGGAGAATGCTGATTTCCAAAGCGTATATGCATATAAGTGAATATAACAAACCAAAACTCGACTCTCCTATTTTTCAATCTGAGCCGTTATCCATTACAATACCTGGTATTCCCGAGTAGTCACCCACTTCGGTACTGACCAGGCTCAACGTTGCTTAACTTGTTTCAACGTGTTACAGTCGTAATCCTGTTAAAGGCAAGAGGGATAGAAGTAGGCAGTGCATACCCTATCTAACCAACGTATGTAAATTGTTGGTAGAACAGGGATTAGGAGAGACAAATTAAGAGATACAAATGATGGAAAGTTGTGGAGAGCCATGATCGGTCATGTTCTGATGTGACATGACAGAGATGAAGAAGCGTAGCTTGATATGGCCATGGGTAGAACAATAGCATTATGGATCACTTAAAGCAGTGAATTGGTATGCAAGACTAGTTTAGACTATTCTTCAGAAGTGAAGCAGCGATTAGCTTGTTTAGTAATTAGATGGGTGACCAGTTAGGCCTACCGAACACTGTAGAGATCTTTGCGTCATGCTGAGCGAATAAATCTCTCAAGAAATGTTATTAATGCGCGCATGCGTACGCGGGCTTTTGTGTAAATTTTCTGGTAATAAATATGTCGTTTTTATGAGTCTGGATTGTTTTCTCTGCTTCGAGGAATTTGTCTATGTAAATGTGGGTGTGCATGCGTATTTGAGTGTGTGTCTGTATCTTCCGATAGGAATGTGTGTGCGTATGCCTGCGAATATAAAACTATAACATCTAATTTTAGAGCTGAATAACTGCGGTTCGTTAAACAAGCTAGTCTCATCGACAATTATTACCACTGTAGTGAATTTGATCCTCACTAGGTGTCCCACACTTTCGACCTTTTTTATATATAAAAGTTCATCCAGTACAAGGCTCAAAAGCCACTCGTGCTAGATTTACAGAATGAGGTTTGGGATATGATTGTCAGCATTTTATTGATTCGTTTTTATGGATTATCAACTCTTTGCAGGTTATTTAACGCCAGAATAAATATTTTTAGATTTCAGGAATTTTTTTTAAAGATAATGATTTAGTGATACAAGTCTTACTAATTAACCCATTGCTGGAGGAGAGAAGAGGTGGGTTCATATCTTTCCCGAGGATATTTGCAAGGAAGAGAATATAATGAACTAGACTCGAATTGGAACTCGGATGTCTGATTAACAATTCCGAGCCATTATCCATTACACCACCCGCACATCCAAGTTTACAGCACCTGGTATCCCCAAGCGGTCACCCATCTCGGTATTGACCGGGACCGACGTTGCTTAGCTGATCGTGTGGGAATCAGTGTTTCAAGGTTATGTGGCCGTAATATCGACGTAGGAGGGAAGATTTAAGTAAAAACTGAGGATAAGGAGGATATATAACGATTGACTCTTGACTTGAAGAGATTAAGATTGTAGTGTCCTTGGAAGCACCCACGCGAATGTTTGTTCCACGTAGCATTTCTTGGGAAGAAGTGGAACTTCCTCCTTACAAAATGAATACATGTGAAATCTGGGTGATCCGTCTCTATGGAACTGGTGTAACTAAAGAGGAGAGATCACCTGAATATTTTTGATGGAAATAGCGAAAGAGTAGCGATAGTCTTGCAACATTGCATGCGTGGGGAAGAGTGTGCATAGCAGATGGTATATTACTTTTAGCTAAAACTTGGGCAATTCACCTGAAAGCAATTGTAAGCAACACCTCTTCCTGACCATTAATATAATAACAGGTTGGGTTCTTACTGAGTAACCATAATATATATATATATATATATATATATATATATATATATATATATATATATATATTGTGTATATTTAGGCAGCAATTTTTCATAGATGCATGTTTCATTAAATAATATAGACACGTTGCGTCTATTTATTTTAAGTAAGTTTCTTTCATATTGTCTGATAAGCTTAATAACATTATCATTGAAAGACGAAAGTAAATCACCATATTGATACATGTTTAAATCCAATCTAAGCTTTCGGCTTACATAAGCCATTATCAAAGTTAACAATTACATTTCAATATGTCAAACAATACACGGACAAAACAATAATTATAGTCTGTTTTTGTTGCATGAAAAATTTCAAAGCAACGACAAACTCGTGTATATGAGACGCGGAAGCACAAAATCGCGTCGCAGATCATGACGTCACACATGACCAGGCGAAAGTGAAAACGAGAAGTATTAAGTATGGGAAGCCGTTGGTATAAACCAATACCTTCTGTTATCAATTATAGTCATTTAAGAATGTGTGTGGAGATTTCGTAGTTTATTTTGTTCAGGTTAGGTTTCAACTGTTTGATGTATACAGCTTCAAGAATTTTTAGTTTTTGTTTATTGTTTTCATGTTTAAGTATAGTTGTGTTTTCAACAAGGATTTTACGGAATTGTGTACACGTCTTTCAATGATAATGTTATTAAGCTTATCAGACAATTACTAAAAATAAATAGACAAAACTAGTCTGAAACATGCATCAATATATATATAGATATAATGTCATCCACAGACAGACTGTTTCGCGGCTCTTCATTGTGGCTAGGCGTCTGGTTGTCTATAGCTAGGATCGAAACCTGGCATCAGTCGGAGATTCTACTGCTAAGCCATCGGCGCACGGCAGTGATGAAGGTGAATAGTATAAATATGAAATTTGTCACCTGATTGATGTTATA